CCATATTAAACAAATACATCCTAAGGTTACCCGGGTCCACGTTTTGGGGCCACGCCCCCTTTATATATCAAAATATTTTTTACCCTGTGACCATCCCTGGAAGATATCCAGTGCGTGTGTAAAATTTGGTTACGATCGGCTTATTCGTTTAGGAGCCAAGTGTGTCTATAGGTACATACATAATTTGAATTTTATATATATAGATTATAATTATATTTTGACAGTATCCGTTGTTTCTGATTGGCGCAAAAAAATCTTGCCTAGTGACGAATTCGCCCCTTGATATGGTCGTTACTTAAGCTATTTATATTCGAAATTGCATGAAAATTGGAAAACAGGAATCTATAAGCTTATCCAGGAAAAAAGCTACCTACGTACCGAATTTTAAGCAAATCGGACCATAAATACGATTTCTTCGAACAGATCGGTCCCTGGTCCACTTCTCGGACAAAAAGGATCATATATCCTAATATATGCTAAAAAACTACTTACGTACCAAATTTTAAGAAAATCGGACCATAAATACGATTTTTTGGAATAGATCGTTCCCTGGCCCACTTTTCGGAAAAAATTTATCACATATGCTAATACATGCTAAAAAGCTACCTGCGCACCGAATTTTAAGCAAATCGGACCATAAATACGAGTTCTTCGAACAGATCGGTCCCTGGTCCACTTCTCGGACAAAATGGGTCATATATGCTAAAAAGCTACCTACGTACCGAATTTTAAGCAAATCGGACCGTAAATACGATTTTTTGGAATAGATCGGTCCCTGGTCCACTTCTCGGAAAAAATTGATCACATATGCTAATACATACTAAAAAGCTACCTGCGCACCGAATTTTAAGCAAATCGGACCGTAAATTCGATTTTTTGGAATAGATCGGTCCCTGGACCACTTCCCGGAAGAAATGGGTCATATATGCTAATATATGCTAAAAAGCTACTTACGTACTAAATTTTAAGCAAATCGGACTATAATAAGATTTTTTCGAATAGACCGGTCCCTGGTCCACCTACCCGAAAAAGTAAAATTTTTTTAGCCTAAAACATGGTGGTTACTGAAAGCTAATTGTATACAAAATTTCATGAAAATCGGACCAGCCGTTCGCGAGATTACCTGTTACAAAAAAAAGGGACTTCTCTTTATATAATTAGTACAGATATAGATATAGATGTGAGCAAACAACATTGTGCTTGCATAGTTCTCTGTTCTCTTTCACTGCAAGTTGAATTATTTTAATATCTATTGCAAAATTTTGTACCGACAAGACTAAAAAGTAGAAAATAAATCAAATAAAAAACTTTTTAATATACAACGCTTTTATAAATTGACTAAAAAGTAGAAAATAATATTTCTCGGTCTCACAGAATTTGTTTTGATAACTTTTGATTTTGAAATTTTAGCAAAAGTCATTATAAACAATTAATGACATTGAAAATGAAAAGCGTGTGGCACATGTAATACACTTGAAATGATATGAAAAGTAACATATGTATGTATGTGGGCATATGAATACCGACCGCTTAAAATCGATCTCAAATTTGTACTTTCGCTGTAGAATGTTATGTAGTTTGACTATTGTCACGGAAATCGAATGCTTTATACCGCATGCGCTCCACGTTTTTCGTTTTCAATGTAATTAATTGTTTATAATGACTTTTGCTAAAATTTCAAAATCAAAAGTTATCAAAACAAATTCTGTGGGACTGAGAAATATTATTTTCTACTTTTTGGTCCATTTATAAAAACGTTGTATATTAAAAAGTTTTTTTTTTTATTTGATTTATTAGACATTAGAATTCAATGCCAGGGTGTATGGGAATAGCCACGTATGCATTTCTTAAATGTTATGATATGCGATTGGCTTAAAATGCAAGTGAAACCGTAGACTATTTTTAATACTTCCTGGCACTGTCGGTTTAAGTGTTTTTCTAGATAAGTTATACATACTCTTCAGCAAGTCAAACTCGATCAGAACTTGCGCTGAGCTAGCATGAAAAGGGACAATACTGGTTCTTCATCTATCCCAAATCAATGCTTTGAACTGTCTTTTTTAACATGGCAATGTCTTACGAAGTGTTCTGAGCTAAGTCAGGTTAGATGGTTCTGAGACAGTTCATATAACAACAGTTTCTAGATAGTTCATTAAGGGTCACCTCCGAGCTAGAAAAATCTAAGAAGTATAGTATAGAGCATTTTGTTTAGACGCTGTAATTAAATAAGTAATAAGTAATAATTTTGTAAATAAAAAATACTTAATTTTATTATTAAAGAGTTATTTGGTTTGCGCTAATTTACTTTTTGAGGCAAACTGTGCTTTAAAATTAGGAACATGAAGTGTCAGTTATTACTTCATTTTCTAAAACCGTTATTCTTAAAAATAGTCTATATTTGTTACGTATAATGGGTATTTATTAAAGTCCATCGCAATTGTATTTGCCGCATTTCGTTCAATTCTTTGCATTGTACTCTACTCCCAACACATTGTTACTCTTTTTCCTCATACATACACTACTTGGCGTTGAGAGAGTAAATACTTGACGTACTTGCTATTACTCCACCAAAGTAGGTGCTCTACTTTCTCTCATCGCGTACGAGAGATGTTTGATGCTGCCAAAAGGGAGTAGCAAATCTACTCTCTGTATACATGTAGTACTGTAAGTACTTGCGTATTTAATTTCAATTCTGGTTGTTAGCCTCTACTTGTTGATATCGTTTGCGGCGCTGCACAGTGGCCAATTTTTGGAAAACCCTGGCCAAAAGTCCAAAAAAAAATTGGTGCATTTGTATGCATAACCATCTTATATTGTTAGGAGGGCTCTATTGCGTATCGTTATGAGACAACAAGTCGATTCTCTTAAGGCATTTAGTGTTACAGGAAATCGAAGTGACTGTTGCTAGCAATTCGCTCTAAACTTTTCGTAAATTAGAGTTTTCGTCGTTGTTAAAATCGTGGTATTATCTTTAAAAAAAATAACAGTTTTCAAGCATCCTTTCATGGACATTGTAATCTAAAGTATGCAAAACATGTTTTTTCATTGTTATGCCATCTAAAAACTGACGTAAGTCATAGATATTCACGGATTGATTTTTTTTTGTTTACTTATTATGATGGATTAGGAAAATAGTTAAGAGAGTGGTCGAGATGGGCGGTCTAATTTTCTTTTTCATATACATTGAAGTTTTTCCCATCCACCTTGGTTAAAACCACCTGCCACAAGCCGCCACTCTAGTTTGGACATCAGTTTTTATACGCGATTCTTAATTTTTTTATGTTTAAAAGATTTAAATTATGTAAAAAATTATTTCTGTCTAGATTTTGATGTTTTAAATATTGGATGTTTTTAGAATTTAAATGATGTAAGAAAGTACTACTGTTGTGTTTTTACGTATTAAGCTTACATGCTTACTGTAGGGTTAATAGAAATGTCAAAATGGAAATAGGAGAAGAACAGAGAAACAGTATGTACCAATAAGTTGAACGCGACGGACGCGAATTTCTATACAATTTTGAAGTTAATATATTTTATACTGCTGGAAAGCAAAATTCCTGACTTTTAATTGGGTTCGGGCGTTGCAAAAAAGCTTGCAATGAAACATTGGTGCCGTGACCAGGATTCTGGCGAGGAAATTCAAATCGTCATAGGAAGCAAACTTCGTAAGTTAACGCGTGAACAAGAACTTATTGGTGGTACATATGCATGTACTAGGTACGTAGAATTCGATTGCAAATTCTTCGAGCAACAACAACGACGGAACGTCAGCAGCTTGAGTTTATTAAAAGCGGTGCATACGACGAACACGTGAACGTGTTGGAGTTGAGGTTGGCAGCGAAGCGTCGACGCAGGCAGAGAAGTTCTCAGTCAGCGGTAATCGAAAGAACTAGAAAACAAGAAACAAAAGATTTAGCAACGGCAGTTTCCTATTGTTGGATCGTATGATCGAGCGCATCTTAATTTACACGAAAAAAAAAAGAGTTAAATTGCAAAAAAAGACGACAAGAGCCGAATATTTCTTAAAATTTTTTGGAGTAATTCTTGCAAAGTAACAAAGAAATATGGGTAATGAAGATGAAATGGAGCAACAGGTTGATCTGACCAAAGCTGAAAAATTGTCGGAGTATAAACAATTGCGCTCGTCGACCAAGGGAAATATAACTCGAATTAAAACAGCGGTCAGCAAGAAGAATGTTCCTATCGAGGAGCTGGGTTGCAGGTTAGATATTTTGGAAGCCTACTTCAAGCAGGCATTGTCGATTAGTACCAGCATACTTCGACTGTGTACTCCATCTGAATGTGAGTCCCACGAGAAGGCAATGGCGGACATCGAGGATATTTACGTTGCAGCTAAGGCGAAAATAAAAGAAAAGCTGGCTGCAAGCCGGGTTGATGCCGAGGCAAGTGCGCTTAACGTTACAACGGCGGCGATTCCGCAATCGTCAATGAGGCGTCATATAAAACTACCAACATTCGATGGAAAATACTCGGAGTTTCCGAAATTTATGGCGATTTTCCATAAGATGGTGAATCAAGATGAAACCTTGGACGATTGCGAGCGGTTTTTAATTCTTAAAGATAATTTATCCGCACGAGCACTTCACGCCATTGATGAATTCGAGATTACCAGTTTAAATTATAAGAAGGCGCTTGACCGGCTGAGGAGTAACTTCGATAAAAAAAATTTAATGTTCGAGGAACATATTGCGGCGTTATTTTCTGGGAAAAAGGTGTCGAGCTCGGGCGATTTGCGGGAATTGATTGACTCAGTGAACACTCATTTAAACGCGATGCTGTCGTTTGGTAATTATAAAGACATAACTAATGCTATGATCATCTATCTTGTAGCAACGAAATTAGACGAGGAATCCTTGGCAAAGTGGGAGGAATCTATCGACTATACAAGGCTATCCACTTGGGATGAATGCTCTGCAGTGTTGACTAAGAGATGTGAAAATATGGAGGCTCGAGAGACAAGAACGGCACGCTGTGGCGAGAACGAGGACGATGGAAGCAAAGCTAGTCGCAAAGATAATCGCAAGGCGGTTGGTTGTAAAAAAAACGTTTTGGCTATAGAGAAAGGTGGATGCGAAGTTTGTCGAAAGGACGGGCACAACGTAGAAAGCTGCCGTAAATTTGAGGCTCAGAAGGTTCCGCAGAGGCGCAAAACGGCACGACATTTGAGGCTGTGCTTCGTGTGTTTGCAAAGTGGGCATAAGGCCAGTAGCTGTCAAGCGAAACGGTGTATAGAGTGCGGTGGTGACCACCATAAAATGCTGCATAAAAACAACGTAGAGGTGAAGACGATCGACGCACCAGGCACGACGCAAGCTGCTACGGTAAGTCAAGTTGCTGTGCATGCTACGATGCAAAATGAAGGCGCGGATGTTATTTTGGCAACGGCGGTAATTGGTATCAAGGGGAGAAATGGACCGGAAATCCAAGCTCGTGCGCTTTTGGATTCAGCGTCCCAACTAAATTTGATGTGCGAACCGCTTATGCAGAGACTAAAGCTTAAATGGACTTCATGCATCATGACTGCGCACAGCATTGCAGACAGTGGCACAAATATTACAAGAAAAGTGCAGGCAAGCGTCAAATCAAGGATTGGTGGTTACGAGACATCACTTGAGTTTTATGTGTTGCCAAAAATAACGTCGTTTAAGCCAGACCAATTTATGAATGCAGATGATTGGGGCATCCCTAGTAACATATCATTGGCAGATCCGAATTTCAACAAGCCTGGCCGTATAGACGTACTGTTAGGCGCAGAAATCTTTTGGGACTTATTATCGGTTGGCCGAATTACGCTGAAAGCGAATCTCCCGCGATTGCAGAAAACTGTGCTGGGTTGGGTCGTGTCAGGTGTGACAAATCGAGCCGACTCCAACGAGAGGCTTAGGAGCAGCTTAATGATGACATCATCCAAGCAACCAGGTGTTGAAGAGGAACTGACGGCCCTTGTAGAGAAATTTTGGCCGATGGAACAGGTTGATGCAAAAACACTGTTTCCAACAGCGGACGAGGCACTGTGTGAAGAGATTTTTATCAAAGAATCTAGACGTGATCACACTGGGTGCTTCGTGGTAAGGATTCCATTTAAAGAAAATGTCGCTGAGCTAGGCGACTCAAATCAAGCGGCATTACGGCGATTCTTGCTCCTTGAAAAGAGACTAAGGAATAATCCAGTAATCGAAAAAATGTATAATGCATTCATAGAGGAATATTTGGCGTTGGGGCATATGGCACTGGTACCAAGGGATTCCAGGGAAAAGGTAAATTACCTTGCACCGCATACGTTTGTGTTACGGCCAGAATCTACAAGTACTAAACTGCGGGTAGTGTTTGACTGCAGTTGTAAGACCTCATCGGGGCTCTCTTTGAATGATGTAATGTGCAAAGGACCCATTGTACAAGATGACTTGCTGGCGATCGTGTTGCGCTTTCGATGCTATAAGTATGCGATAACAGCGGATGTGACGAAAATGTATCGGCAAGCCTGGGTGAGTGAAGAGGATTCATTTTATCAATGTATATTGTGGCGGCCAACCCCAAATGAAGATATTGAAGTATATCGCTTATTGACGATCACGTACGGAACGGCGTCCGCGCCATATCTGGCGACGACATGTGTAAAGGCACTTGGTGAACAGTGCGCAGAGAAGTTTCCATATGGTGCAAACAAGGTTTTATCAGATTTTTATATGGACGATCTGATATCTGGTGCAGACTCCGATGAGCAGCTACAACAAATTTACTCGGAGGTCAGCGAGATTTTAAGTTCTGCAGGGTTTGAGCTACGTAAATGGTACTCGAATAATAGTGAATTTTTGAAGAAAGTGCCATCGGATGATCAAGAAAAGCCACTGCGTATGAACGATGCCGAAATCATCAAAACTCTCGGTATTATATGGGAGCCAACTTCCGATGTGTTTCGTTATGATTGGCCGGAGCTGAAAATGGATAAACCGGTGACAAAACGGATTGTGCTGGCGGAGATTGCGAGTCTGTTTGATCCTCTCGGTCTAATAAACCCCATAATCGTAAAGGCTAAGATCTTTTTGCAAAATCTGTGGATTATAAAGGTGCATTGGGATGAATCCCTACCATTGAAGGATAACGCTCAGTGGATCAGATTTCGCGAGAAACTGCCTTTGGTCAAAGATATACGAGTACCACGATATATTTTGGCGAAAAATGGTCCTGCCCGAGTCGAATTACACGGATTTTGTGATGCGTCGCTGCGGGCTTATGGGGCATGCGTGTACATTCGCACCGTCAATGAGCTGGACGAGGTTACGGTGGCGCTGTGGAGCGCCAAGTCCAGAGTGGCACCATTAAGAACTAAGTCGCTACCACGATTGGAATTACTTGGAGCTGAATTATTGGCCAAGTTATTAACCAAAACCCAAGAAAACTTGGTCGTTTCATTGAATGCAATCTATTTGTGGACAGATAGCGAAATCGTACTAAATTGGTTAAGTAAGCATCCATCGGAGTGGTCAATTTTCGTTGCGAACAGAGTGGCAACAATTCAAGAGTGGACGAAACATGCACTATGGAGGCATGTTCCAACCAAGAGTAACCCAGCGGATGTTATATCTCGCGGCGCATATGCAGATGAGCTAATCGAGTCTTGTTGGTTTACTGGCCCAGCGTTTTTGAGGCAAACGTGTGACAAATGGCCACCGAACAGATTTCGGAGCGACGCATCTGAAATAAACATAGAACAAAGGAGAGCAGTGGCACTACCCATCGAGCATCGAAAAAATCAGGTGCTGCTGTGGTTGGAGTCGCATAGTAATTTTGGGCAGATACAGCGAAAAGTGGCATATCTGTTGTACTTCTTTCGGCGCAAAACCAATCGCGAGACCTTGGTTACCAGCGGTGATGAACCGATGCTGACAGCGGAGCTGTTGAGAGAAGCGTGGGTGCGCATCATGTACTGCATACAGCAGGAATACTTTGAAATGGAGATCAAACTATTAGCGTGAGGCAAAGAATTACCTCCCGCCAGCATATTAAAAAACCTTAGTGTGTTCCTGGCTTCAAGCTTTGGAGTTTCCATGATGCGCGTCGGAGGCCGGCTCGCCAGATCGCAACTACCATATGAGGCGAAATTTCCAATTGTGTTGCCCCCTGAGAGTCTAATTGTGCGGACTTATATACGACATCTGCACGAAACCAACATGCATGTGGGTACGCAAGCGTTGATGTCGTTATTGAGGCAACAGTGCTGGGTCGTGAATGCGAGAAGGCTGGTAAGACAGGTAACCACCCAATGTTTGCTTTGCTTTCATTCCAGGCCCAAACTTTGTGAACAAATTATGGGGCATTTGCCAGCAAGACGCGTAGCAGTAACAAGGCCGTTTTACTCCACTGGTGTTGACTTTTGTGGACCTATTCTCACCACCGTCCGACTTCGAGGAGCACGCACTGTGAAAAGCTATTTGGCGATCATGGTTTGTTTTTCAACCAAGGCGGTACATATTGAGGTGGTATCCGACCTCAGTACAAAGGCGTTTATGGCAGCGCTCAAGCGGTTTGTGGCGCGAAGAGGCTTATGTCACCACCTTTATTGTGACAACGGCACTAACTTTGTGGGTGCTCGGAGAGAAATGCAAGAGTGGAAACAGATGTTCTTCTCCCAACAACAACAGCACAAGATAAGCGAGTTCTGCGCAGTAAAGGGCATTGCATGGCACCATATACCGCCGCGCTCCCCACATTTTGGCGGGCTGTGGGAGGCGGCGGTGAAATCGGCTAAATACCACCTTACGCGTACGTTGGGTGATGCACACTTTACGTTTGAAGAGTTGTGTACAATAACCACAGAAATCGAGGCGATTTTGAATTCGCGGCCGTTGTGCACCGGTTCGGCCGATCCTAATGACGAAGAAGTGCTAACACCAGCGCATTTTCTGGTTGGTAGCACACCGGATGTATTAGCAGAACCACTACTAGAACCAGCAAAGGTCAGTCTTAGAGATCAATGGCAACGTCTGACAGTCATGAAGCAGCATTTCTGGGCTCGATGGAGCAAAGAATACCTGCAGGATATGCAACGCAAGGCGAAGTGGATTAAACCGCAACGTAATTTGGCAGTAGGTGACTTGGTGTTAGTAGCTGAAGACAACGCTCCGCCAAAGCATTGGATGATGGGCCGTGTTGAGCGGGTCGTACCAGATGAAGCTGGCGCCGTGCGTGTTGCTGAAGTGCGTACGAAGAATGGTTGCATCAAGAGGGCAATACAGAAACTTGCCCGCATCCCAACCGAAGATGAAATTAATGGTTGATGACCTGCCGGTATATCAAGGAGGCCGGCATGTTGTGTTTTTACGTATTAAGCTTACATGCTTACTGTAGGGTTAATAGAAATGTCAAAATGGAAATAGGAGAAGAACAGAGAAACAGTATGTACCAATAAGTTGAACGCGACGGACGCGAATTTCTATACAATTTTGAAGTTAATATATTTTATACTGCTGGAAAGCAAAATTCCTGACTTTTAATTGGGTTCGGGCGTTGCAAAAAAGCTTGCAACAAACAACTACTATATTAGAGTGCTCATCCATGGGCCTCTCATTATTGAATGGGCACCCCTGCCAATTGGGCAACTTTCCCAAGAAGCCCAAGAGTCAAGGAATAAGGATATTAAAAAATATCGGCTGCTTGTATCCTCGGACCCTGTCATTTCAAGTTTACGTTTAAACCCACCAAAACAAAATCATAAACTGTCGTCAGATGCCATTAAATTATTATCAACTGTTGTAAATGCGGATGCGGAATTGCTATCAGAAAATATAGATATGAGCTTGGATACTTCAGATGACTGCGAGTCTGACGGTGTATGAAATTGTTATCTTAAAAATATATTCCTGTACCAACAAACATGTATGTCTTGTTTATTGATTCATTCAAAATCCCGCAGTTCCCGTGTAAATTTGAACATAAAGATTTTTAGAAACAAACATTAAGACCTCGAATTCTTGTGCCGTGCGCCTTGATGTTGGCGCACAAAGGGGAGGGACCAATAGTTTTACGCCGAATCCGAATGGAGATTTTATTTTTATGAGAAGCTGTTCTTCGTGGCTGAATACACTCGGGGGTTCGCCATTGGCTGCCAAAGGGCGACTTTATTACAAAAAACTTGTTTGTTTCTTATTTTTTGATGCTGGTCGGAAGCTGGGCTTGAACCCAGACCCTGCGGAATGATAGCATATATTGCTAACCGCTACATCACACCATATAACAAAAAGGCAGAAAACATGACCTTTTATACTTAACTACCTTAGTTTTGCTAAAAATCTGATTATTTTAAGCGTACACAGCAGCCATTATGGATCCGCCATTTTGAATTTCGAAATTATGTGGTGAAATTTAAAACCAGCAACCAAAATAAAGACGAATACACAAGGTTTGATTACAATTGTACCACGCTTCGACTTTTGGCCAGCTTTTTCGAAAAATTGGCCACTGTGCGCTGGTCAGGGAAATTGAAAGAGTAAAAATATACTATGGAAATTGACGATGTAAGGAAATGTTTGCCGCCATATTTATAAAAAATAACGTAGATTTAAACAGTTGTGTAATGTGACATTTTCATAAAACTTTTGAATTGAAACAGCTTTTTAAATCTATGTATTTATGTACTTACATTTTTATGAAAGTATTATTTCTCGTTTCTAATTTTGTATAAAACTATTTGCAGTCATTAACCAACAAATAAGTTGTCAAAAACAACAACTTAAGCAATGCTGCTATATGATATAAAATTATTAGTGACAAATCAAAAGTTATTTGGAAAAGTAAAGTGTGAAAAAAGTTAAAGTAAAGTAACTATGTGTCTTTATTTAATATGTTTCTTGTAAATAAAGTTCTAAACACCAATTCCAATTTCTTATTATATATTAACAGGTATGTTTCATTAAATTCTATATTATAGACATCACTACAATAGTTAAAAAGTTTTGCCTATTTAATTACAGAAACTAAAGAATTATGGCTCAGAGAAAGTTTACGAAAAACTACGCTCATCTGAACTATATATAAGTGTTAAAATATTGTTTGGGATCGCATGAAATGTTGCTTTAAAGGGAATAGGCCCTTTTTCCGGCTTAGGCTACTTTAATTGAACGGCACAGATATGCCAATAAAAAAGTTCATTTCGTTATTTATAAGAAAAAATATCAGAAAAAGTAGTTTGTTTGTTATAACAAAAGTATTTAAAAAATTTCTTTTCGTTGATTAACAAAACAAAAAATATTGTAGTTCTCAAGAAATATCACGAGAAATATATTTTCATTATTTCTGATGCTAGAAAATAACTTTGCGGTTGCTGTAAATTTTCTTGAAGAAATAAGTATATCGTCGCTACCATGCCAAACTATGAAATGCGCAAAACTGCTTTTTGATTTGCGATACCTTGCGCATGCATTTAGAATGATACGTAAGTTGGCAAATCGTCAAATTTCTAGTCTTCTTAGAAGCAGAGGCTTTAACAAAATGTCAAATCCCATACTTTTGGATGCGGAGCTTTTGCGAATGCGAATGTTGTGCAAGTGCACCGATGAAACGTATAAATGGCAAACAAAATAACAAATTGTAGCCAATATTTAGGCCTGTGGTCGTGGGAGTATTTGTGTAACAAAATTGATCAAATGTCTTTAAACATATTATTTCTTAAGCTATATAACCGCGCTATCAATGGGCAGTCATACAAGTTCAAACTTCTACTTGACCTTTGACGTACGTCAAAGAAAACATAGTCCTTTTAACAGAATTTTTTTTCTTTGCTTAAATTCCTGATTTCTTTCTTTCTTTTTATGATTTTTTTGGGCCAATCTTAAAAAAAACTACTAGACACAAAAGAAGAAAGTGTGTACTGTAAATCTGTACCAAATTTTCGTAATTTGCTTTTGATGTTACATATACTCGTTTCAATAATTTCAAATGGGGCTCTTTGGGGAATTTATTTTTAGGAAACATTTTAAAAACAGTAATTTTGTTTACTTGTCGGGCAATATTTTTTCATAGGGATATACATGGGATCCTTGGCTAAAAACTTCTGTGGTAAAACTGTCCCTTCTTTGCTATTTAAAGTCAAAGAGTAAGCTCCTTCAATATGGATTTCCAGCAGAGATGATCAACATCTGGCTATAAAGAGAATCGATGCTCAAATAATTAAAAAGCTATAGGTCTGACCTTTAATTGCGTAACTATCTGAGATTCAAATGCTTATAAAAAACGGGGTGCTTTTAAAAAAAATTAAAATATTCTGATCCGATTCGGCTGGCAGCCACGACTTTTAAAACAGAATTTTGTTCAAACATAATAATATTTACATAGCTCGCTATAAGCACA